TTTTAACACAGTGGAAAGGTTACATGAAGTAGAAACTTAAGGCATTTAGCTCGTTTTGCATCAATAAGACACTGTGAAGTGCGTCAATCGCTCTTTTAAAGGTTCATTTTACAAAAGTAATGAATTTTTTTTAAACTAAAACTTTGCATAAGGACGTTTAAAAACTGAATGATGACAGCGTGGATTGTGATATATGGAAATGACATGAAGGAAATTCGCGAAGCATTTCAGTGGCATGACTTCGTTTAGTTACAGACCGTATAAGGACCGTATGAGGTTGGCCTTAAAAGGCTTTCTTAGTCCTCAGTTCGTCATAGTCTATGGTGGAGTTTTCTCTAGGTGGGACTTGAAAAAATGTGTCGAAGTATGCCTACAGTAGTGTGCTGGATGCATTTCATCTTCCAACAGTAGATCAGTGGATTAAGGGTTGAATTAAGAAACACTAGGGTCAGTGTATAAAACTGCGAATGGTTTACATCGATCCTTTGTTTGGAATTGGTAGCGATAATAATTAACACACAAATATTAGGCAAATAGCAAACTATGAAAACCAGATACAAGTAAAGCGATGCCATCGCAGATTTCCTTTTTCTTTGAACACTTTCTCCTTGGTCATTCTGCGCTACTTGCGGGACTTGAATTTCGTTTATGTGTCGTCTTAGAGTTAGATGGAGTTTGACGCTCAAAGAAGTTGCAGTTATAATACAGGCAGCGTCAATAATGACGAAACCCACGTACATAATGTTTTTCGGGATGAAAAACCTGGTCAGTGAAATAAGTGAGCTTATCACCCAAATTGAGACCACTACAGCAGCAACGCGCTTGTATGTCACAAGTTCCTGGTATCTGAGGTGGAGGTAAATTGCCAAAAATCTGTCTGCACAGAGAGCCGTGACGCTAAACAATGACGCAAAAATGAACAAATTCGCCGGAATAAGAAACGCGACATATATGACATTATAAGTTTCATTGGTTGCATTGTTTTGTTTAGAGTCCATAATATAAGCAACGTGCATTGGCTGAACTAGTAAACCAACACCGACATCAGAAACAGCCAGACTCAAAAGCAATGTTTTTAAATTTTTTGGCAAAGACGAAGTCTTTCTGATCACGTAGATTGCTACAATGTTCAGCATGGTGGCGGTGTAAGACAAGTACGCGTTGAATACGCAAAGCGTGAGATACGAGTAATCCATTTGTTGACTTTTTTTTTTGCTAGTTGCGGCGCTTGAAGCAAACAAATTATTGTCCGTCCTTGCAAGCGTTTTGTTTTTTTCAGGGTGATCCGACCAAACTGAATGAAAGCAGTTTGACTAACTAAAATGCATGTTTAACTGAGCTATGATGAAACTCTTTTCTGAACATACGATTACTGATGATAGGGCATTGCTGGTGTGGCAAAACAGATGTCCTATGTGTTTTTAAGACGCTTTAGATAATTGTTAGATGTATTTTTCTAAACTGCCAAGCAATTAGAAAACGGGAGTTTTTGTTTCAAAATAAAGCTTAAACTTAATCACCGGCAAAAAGAAATTTTCCAATCAGTATTTTCGGTGGGGCCGCTTTATCGAAATGTTCAGAAAACTCCTGCAAGTCTTTCCTCTGCTCTTTTTTTTTAACCAAATAGTTTAAAAGTAGGTTGAGTTTGATCGTCTGGGTGAACGTAGTCCTGAATAGTACTGTTGTTGTTGACAGTGACTGACGTTTCAACAACCTGTGCGGTAGTCATTATCAGAGTCAAAGTGAGTTGTATCAAGTCAGTTGATGGTATTATACTCTGGTTATTGATTTGATTGGTCAATTACGTCGCGATGTTATTGGTCGTCTGTCAGATAAGCTGTGATATTATTGGCTATGAAGACTCGTAATCAGTAATTGGTTTCGATCCGTCTATTGTCACAGTTAAACAGTCGTCTATTATAATTTAAGGTGATTCCCTAGTTTTGCACTGCGCATCTCTTACTGCGCATAACAAGATGGCCGCCGTAAAAAAGAGCATGTGCAGTAATATTATTAAAATGGAGTTGACTGAAAAGAAACGCTATTGGAATTTTTGCTTTCTGTTGTTTCTTGCGGAGGTGAGACTCAATGTGTTAGGAATGTGCATAACGTAAGCAGTACGCGTGTTGCTGAGTTCGACCTCCTCTCGGAGAACCTCGATAGTGGATGTTTAACTTGTGCTTACTCACTTTGATTTTCATTTAAACACTTTCTTTATCACATTGTGTCCTAAATGTGATATCTCGATGTAAATTCTGTAAAAACGGATTTTTTAATACTTTCTTCCCCCTTTCACATACATTCTATTTTGAAACTCGCCCCAGTCCTCTCTCAAAAATCGGAGAAAATGCGTTTGGTGCGCACTTTCTGCAGCTCTAACGCAAAAACGAGTACGGTGACCCCCATTTTTTATTTCATGATTTTAATAAGGACAGTGCTTCCTTTCGATGAGAAAAAAATTGGCACAAATCTATGTTCAGTTTTTTGGCAATTTTACTAAATTGTACGGATTGAGCCATCATGGGTCGAAAACCGCGCGTCCAATTTAATTCTACTTTGGACCGTAAAGTAAAAACAAGGGCATTAAAAGGTAATTTTCTGGTACGTAAGTGGATAAACAATACATTAAAGTCAAATTCTCTGTGATGTCGCATGCATCATCGAAAAAATCTCTCCTTTTTTTCTAGTTTTGCGCTGCCCGCAGTTTTGTAAAAGGGTCCTAAATAGCCGTATTTGTCAGCATTGTGACGTCAAAACGAGCACGGTGACCCCCACTTTTTATCACTTTTTTATCATCTTCTCGACATGTTACATCAGTGTACCAAGTTTTAGCTAAAATCTATGTTAGGTTCTTTTACTATGGAATCACCTTAAGATGGAAATATAACAACACTTCCCGAAGATGTTAGTGCGAAAAGTAAAGGTGTTGATCTCTGACTCGGCCATAAAAACATGAAAAAATAATGCATGTGACATCCCTTTGAGTTTTAATAATTATTTTTGTGCTCAATTTGGAAAATTTCAGCTGAATGGTTTCTTGGCTATTTCATTATTATATGCATGCTGTATTCTAAGTTAAAATCCACCAGAATCATCCGCAAGACGACATACTGCATAAGTAAAAGCAGATGTATCAATATATTTTTTAGGATGCTTAGTGTTTAATAATCTTGCACCTTAGCCATAAGCCCCCAAACAATCCGGATGAATATCCTCTCATTTGCAGTTTGTAAGGTCGAAGAGAGAAGCTGTCAGACAGTGTTGTTTTGCACTGCGTCTTTTAACAAAGCGGGCTCAAAAATTATGGGTCGGTTATTAAAACGAAGTTTCACTTAGGCCGCGGTTTAGCAAACCTTTGGACCTCCAGATATCTTCCTTAGTGGGTTACGCCATTTGCTATCATGAAACTGGTTACGATAAACAGTGTTGAGATAAAAGTGTTGGGGAAAGTGAAAATGACTTAGAACACAGTTTTGTTGAACACTGGCTAAACTCCGTTTAAATAACTGGTCCTATTTGTTTCTTTGGGTTGCGGTGTTCGCTTTAGTTTCCAGCCGCCCCCTTCCCTCAGAAAAGATCGCCCCTTGGCAGCCATGGTAAAATCGCCTTTCGGCGATTCTTGTTTGTATGTTTGTTATTATGTTTTTCTCAATTTCAAAGTAATTAGAAAACAGGAGGTTTTCGTTCAGAGTTTAACTTCAATTTAATAACCGGTAAACTTGTTCAACCTTTTTGCGAAGGGACCGCTTAATCGCATCGGCAAATAGTGATACAAATGAGAACTTTTTTAACTTTCGTATTTCTTTAATGTTACCCAGAAGTTTACAATAACGTTTTTTTCTGTACTCTTGAGAGTGTTAAAATCTTTGATATTTTTTACAGAATTGCAATCTAACATTACAAAATATTGGGAGCAAAAAAAAATTTAAATATCCAACTCGTTAAATTTCAGCTGTTTTATTTACTTGTCAACCTAACAGTACTGTAGCTGTTGTAAATCACTGGGCACTTTGAAGGTATCCAAGTGGCAAAACGATTGTCTCAAGGCTCTTTGAAACATAGGTTTTTCTATACTTTAAGGTATTTTGAAAGCAGGAGGAATTATTTCAAAATTAAACTTCAACCATGTTTTGTCGGCGGGACTGCCTGCAATTATGTCATCGGACTGAGCACATTGTTGACAGAGCATGCGCATTTCTATCTTCTTGCAGATGTCCTTGTTTTCAAACAATTTTTGAAATTTGTATATAGGTCTTTCTAAACTTCCAAACAATTAGGAAAGAGGAAGTTTTGTTAAACAAATTAAACTTCATCTTAATAAGAGGCAAACTTGCCTAACCATTATTTTTCCCCTCCTCTCACAGTTAAGTCATAATTGAACAAAAGAAAGTGTTTTTGTTTTAGTTGTTTTAATGTTTTTGTTTTTATCTATCGAACACATCGTAAAGGTATTGTAAAACTACATTGACTCTCTTCTGCTTCACCTTAATCTTGGCAAATTGTGGGTTAACCTGCGATCAGGCGGTTGGTCTTTCCTTTTTCTTTGGGATGCGTCCGGCGACTTTCTCCGAAAAAAGATCGCCTAATAGCAGATTTTTTCTTGTTCGAATCGAGACCACCGTCGTTTTGGAAGCCTTTAAGTAGAAATGTAAAATCATAACTGATTCGATTTCGGTGAAATCAAAGGTTTCGTATACCTTTTCGTGTACTTGTTTTTTTCCCTTCAGCCGTGGAGCCAAGTATGAATTTTAATAATTCGAAACTGACCCATTTTCTCTCTTTTGTTTGTGTTTTTGAGTCTAAAGTTCCCCGTCACGCATTTTTAGAAGCCACGAAAAAAAAAACAATGAAGTTCTGCTCGTGTAGACGCTCATTCACTGAGTCGTATAATCGTGATCGAGGGAAACAAAATGGTGCAATCGTTACTATATTTAGTTTGATCACTATCATCTTGGTTTAGAAGTCTAGGAAAGAAGTTTTAAAGCTTCTGTTATCTCGAGGATTTTTTCATCGTGTGTTTTCATCGTCTCGCTGGCTTTGATAAGACCGTGCGTGTGATTCTGCTTTAATTTTGTCAGCTTACTTCCTTTTCTTATTTTCCTATTTATCTGTAGGGGTGGGTGAGGAGATAAAGCACAATGCTTTATACTTTTAACGGAGTTTTGACAACTTTCGTGTTTCATTACAATGCTTAAATTATTACTCCGAGACAAATTGTTTTAAATTTTAAATCATTGATTCTAACGAGAACTACAACAATCTCTACTGTTCATTTTTATTCTTATTCTGCTATATCTTTTTTTTATTGTAAGTTTAACATAACACGATTTTACATTTGTTATTGTTTCTTGTTGTTGTTGTTGTTTTTCATATCGTTTATTATGTCCAGATGGACTGTTTTGAAGCTCTCTTTATTTTTGTTTCGTAAATGCATTTCGTATGAAGCCAATGATCTTGTGTCGGATGTGTTTCATCTTCCAGCAGTAGATCACAGGATTAAGGGACGAATTAAGGAACTCCAGTGTCACAGTGTAAAACTGTAAATGCTCTATGCAAGTGCTTGGTCTAGAAGTGAAGGCAATAGAAAAGAGTGTACAAATGTTTGGCAGATAGCAAAGCATTAAGACGAGGCAAACGTAAACTGACATCATCGCAAACTTTTGCATCCTTCGAACGTTAACCATTTGAGCGTTCTGTGGTGCAAGTTGTAGCTCCAGCACTTGTATTTGGTTCATGTGAAGTCGCACGGACAAGTAAATTCTGACACTGAAGAAAGTGGCAGCTATAATACATGCAAGGTTTGTAATGCCAAAAACCACGTACATAATACTCTTTGGGATCAACAGCCTTACCAGCGAAAACAGTCCGCTTAATACCCAAATTGAGACGACAACAGCAACAACTCGCTTGTGTGTCACAAGTTCTTGATATCTAAGGTAATAATGAATGGCTATAAATCTCTCTGCACAAAGAACAATGACGAGAAACAGCGTAGCGAGAGCAAGTAAATTCGCCGGGACAAGATACGCGATAAAAAACTAGTGTTTGTTTTGAGGACTACATTACGCCATCAAATTCTGGTTTTACCCTGAACGAGACTCACTGCGGTGTTGTTCACCGTTTAGTGAGTTCGCTTCGAGTCGACAAGGCTACAGGCCTAGATGGTATTTCTGCAAGGCTTTTGAAAGAAGCTTGTCCTGAAATCGTGCCTTCTCTCACCCATATAATTAACCTATCCATTAGGTGTGGGTATTTTCCAGACGAGTGGAAAATTTCCAAAGTATTACCTTTATATAAGGAGGATATTAAGTCTGATCCTAATAACTATAGACCTATATCTATTCTACCAGTTGTCAGTAAAATAATCGAAAAGGTTATCTTCAAACAACTTTATGAGTACCTAACTCACAATAATTTGCTGACAGTTTCTCAGCATGGCTTCAGACCGATGCATTCTACTTTGACTGCCTTGCTTGAAGCTACTAACAACTGGTACTTAAATATTGATGATGGCCTAATTAACAGTGTACTCTTTCTGGATCTTAAGAAAGCCTTTGATACGGTTGACCACAGCATATTGTTAAAAAAACTGCAACTTTATGGTCTCGACCCGCATGCAGTTCAGTGGTTCAAATCATACCTATCAAATCGCTTTCAGAGTACTTATGTAAATGGAACTCTATCAGACTATCTTCCTGTTAGTTATGGGGTCCCACAAGGTTCTGTACTTGGACCCTTGTTGTTTCTCATTTATATAAATGACCTACAAGAATGCGAGCTGTCATCATCTGCACTCATGTATGCTGATGACACCTCGCTTACCCTTTCCGCCTATGACCCCGCAACTCTTGAAGAAAAGTTAAACAAAGACTTGGATGAGGTTCAAAAGTGGCTGAAATCCAATAAACTCACATTAAATGTCAAAAAGACAAAATATATGATAATTGGAAGCCACTACCGACTAAGGCATTTAAATGGTGACTTAAACGTTACTGTTAATAGTCAACAATTGACTCGGGTGACTAATTATAGGTATCTGGGAATAGAGGTTGACGAGGCATTGGGGTGGCAATCCCATGTAGATACCATCTGTAAAAAGGTATCTGCAGGTATAGGGGCCTTAAAACGTATTCGTTCCCTGGTGCCTCGCCAAACCCTACTGAAAATGTATGATGCCTTAGTCGCTCCTTATTTTTGATTATTGCTCCGAAGTCTGGGGATGTATGGGAAAAGGTCTGTGTGACCGACTCCAGAGATTGCAAAATAGGGCTGGGAGAATTATAACATTTAGTGATTATAATACAAGATCTGCGGATATCCTCCAAGACTTGAGATGGGATACCCTTGAGCAAAGACGCTCTAAACAGCTCGCAATAAGTGTTTTTAAATCTCTAAATAACCTTTACCCTGAGAGTTTAAAGAACATGTTTAAACCAACCTCTGGGGTTCATTCCTACAACGTGCGAGGTGCCTCAAACAACATTTTTGTACCAAGGCCCCGTACTGAAGCTGCTAAGAGGGCCTTTAGCTATAGGGGAGCAGTCATGTGGAATGGCCTAGAAAATGTGCTTAAAGACGAGATAAATCTCAACTCTTTCAAGTCTGCCCTATCTTTGTCATGAACCAGGTATTGCCTTGAGAGAGTTGAGATAGAATTTTTATTTTAGTTATTTAATATACCTTTAAGGTTGATTGATTTTTGTGTGATTAATTATAGGATAGATTTTCTTAATATATAGATATATTTTATCATTAATGTAGTTTCTCTGAAAATTTTGTTTTGTAAACGGCTCACTGGAAGAGCATTTTTAATGAAGTGATACCGTTAATAAAGCTTTATTGATTGATTGATTGATTGATAAAGATGACATTATACGTTTTGCTAGTTTCATTGTTTAGCTTCGACTCCATAATAAGATTTGCCACATTCAAAGGTTGTACCACTAAACCAACACCAAGATCAGAAACAGCCAGACTAAGGAGCAATGTTTTTAAATTCTTTGACAAGGACGGAGTTTTTCTTATGGCGTGGATTGTAACAATGTTTAGCATGGTGGCGGTGTAGAATAAAAAGGCATTTAAAAGGCAAACTAGGAGATACGAGGAATCCATTTGTTGTCCTTTTTGGATTTGTGCTGAAGCCAGTTAAATTCCTATCAGATGATGATGAAAGAGTTTGTTCTTTTATGAATTCAGTAGAATCAGTTTCGTGGACTTCTTCTACCAGAGCTTCGAAGCAGATTGACTTATTTTTAGAATTTCACGACTTTCGTTCGCCCCAGGACAGTCTTGGATTCTGGATTCCATGCTGTGGATTCCGGATCCCGGGTACTGGATTCCGGATTCCAGCACAGTGGATTCCGGATTCCAAAAAGAGGTGGATTCCATTTTTTCCGGTTTTAATTCTTTTCTTCGCACTTTGTTTTCGTGTTCGAATCTTGCCATATTGAAAGGCGTTATTAGAAGGCATAACAAGTTTTTTTTCTTTTTCGATTTACAAAATTACTAGCCTCCCACGCAGACGTTCTTAGGGGTTCGTCACGCGTTCCCGTGACGAACCCCTAAGAACCCCTTTTTGCATAAAAAGACCATACAGATCATCCTACGCTCCGGGTATGAAAACGCAGTAAAATATTTATCATTTAATCAATTTTAGCCGACGTTCCTAGGAGGGTGGAACTTGTTTTGGCTTGTTTTGGGTCGTTGTGGATCTTTTGTCGATTATTTTTTATCGTTGAGGATCGTTTAGGTCGTTTTGTCTCTTTTTGCCTGGTTTCTCGTTTTATTAGTAACTGGCCAAATAAAAATACGCTGTGGCGTGTGCAATTCATTCTTTGCAAATTAAAGTCTTTGGTTCCGTTCTCTAAAGAGTAGTTTTCCGTCTCAATAAATCTTGGAAAACCATTTTTATCTTATCCTTTAAGACTTTTTAAAACTCTCTCTCCGTGTCAATAAAGACTTTTGAAGAGGGTAAAAAATTCTCGCGTAGAAGTTGGCGCGTACTGCTTTGAGGTTTTAGCGCGCTCAATGATAATGAAATTCAAACTAACTGTCGCGGTTGAATTTGATGTTAAAAAGAACACAAACAACAAAAAAATAGTTGGTTCATACTTAGGATGTGCGTATAACCACGTTTTGTTAGAAAAAAGACTTCACGGCTCTATGAAATTCGTTGTTTAAGACGTCGAAAATTGAGGATTTATTTCAAGCATGCGCTCTTTCATCGCCTGTCACATTCCTGACAGGCAATAATCGGATTTGACCAGATCTCGCCTTCGGCTTCGTCAATAAGAGATCTGGTTTCTCTGAGATGGTCTGGGGTCTCTAGGATCCATTTCTAACAAAAAAAATTAACGGACTAAACCGATCTCAGATCGGTCTAATTTCCAAAAGCGACCTCAATGTGAACGAGGCCTATTCAGGAGCACAACTGTAGAAAGAAAACATGAAAAATCCGTCTGTTCCTCGACCGAGACTGAGATGACTGAGAGATGAAGAGAGACTTGAGCGTTTCTTACGCGTCGGCTAGTTTTAAGCGTTTTACAACCATAGAGCGCTCATTTATACGATATTTTCTCCACGGACGACGTAAACTTCATATCACATTCAATTATGATTGAGAAAAAAATCAATTTTTCGTTCATGTTTGTGACTTGCTTACCGCCACGTTACAGTCCACAGATAGACACAAACGAAAAATCATGCAGCTTTGCCTCTGGCACGTTTAGATCTATCAGTCAGCTAAAAACTGGTATAAAATTTCACAACACAGTATTACACGTACCTTTCTCTCTCAGCCTCTTGTTTTTGCTTGTGCTTTCCCATAACGTTTTTTTTTTCTTTTTTAATAAGGTAGAAAAGAAAAATTCAACAGACAACAAACTTCAAAAGGCTCGTCTCATCGATGAGGTGGCAAGATTTCACTCGAATGCCGGGGATGAATGAAAAAGGCACCCACCGCGGCCTTGCACGTGATTACTTTAGTGACAGCTGATTGGTACGGTTCTGACAGTACCTAGCTTATTTCTCAAATAAAGATTATCGAAACCATGAAGGGCCTTTAGCTATAGGGGAGCAGTCATGTGGAATGGCCTAGAAAATGTGCTTAAAGACGAGATAAATCTCAACTCTTTCAAGTCTGCCCTATCTTTGTCATGAACCAGGTATTGCCTTGAGAGAGTTGAGATAGAATTTTTATTTTAGTTATTTAATATACCTTTAAGGTTGATTGATTTTTGTGTGATTAATTATAGGATAGATTTTCTTAATATATAGATATATTTTATCATTAATGTAGTTTCTCTGAAAATTTTGTTTTGTAAACGGCTCACTGGAAGAGCATTTTTAATGAAGTGATACCGTTAATAAAGCTTTATTGATTGATTGATTGATTGATAAAGATGACATTATACGTTTTGCTAGTTTCATTGTTTAGCTTCGACTCCATAATAAGATTTGCCACATTCAAAGGTTGTACCACTAAACCAACACCAAGATCAGAAACAGCCAGACTAAGGAGCAATGTTTTTAAATTCTTTGACAAGGACGGAGTTTTTCTTATGGCGTGGATTGTAACAATGTTTAGCATGGTGGCGGTGTAGAATAAAAAGGCATTTAAAAGGCAAACTAGGAGATACGAGGAATCCATTTGTTGTCCTTTTTGGATTTGTGCTGAAGCCAGTTAAATTCCTATCAGATGATGATGAAAGAGTTTGTTCTTTTATGAATTCAGTAGAATCAGTTTCGTGGACTTCTTCTACCAGAGCTTCGAAGCAGATTGACTTATTTTTAGAATTTCACGACTTTCGTTCGCCCCAGGACAGTCTTGGATTCTGGATTCCATGCTGTGGATTCCGGATCCCGGGTACTGGATTCCGGATTCCAGCACAGTGGATTCCGGATTCCAAAAAGAGGTGGATTCCATTTTTTCCGGTTTTAATTCTTTTCTTCGCACTTTGTTTTCGTGTTCGAATCTTGCCATATTGAAAGGCGTTATTAGAAGGCATAACAAGTTTTTTTTCTTTTTCGATTTACAAAATTACTAGCCTCCCACGCAGACGTTCTTAGGGGTTCGTCACGCGTTCCCGTGACGAACCCCTAAGAACCCCTTTTTGCATAAAAAGACCATACAGATCATCCTACGCTCCGGGTATGAAAACGCAGTAAAATATTTATCATTTAATCAATTTTAGCCGACGTTCCTAGGAGGGTGGAACTTGTTTTGGCTTGTTTTGGGTCGTTGTGGATCTTTTGTCGATTATTTTTTATCGTTGAGGATCGTTTAGGTCGTTTTGTCTCTTTTTGCCTGGTTTCTCGTTTTATTAGTAACTGGCCAAATAAAAATACGCTGTGGCGTGTGCAATTCATTCTTTGCAAATTAAAGTCTTTGGTTCCGTTCTCTAAAGAGTAGTTTTCCGTCTCAATAAATCTTGGAAAACCATTTTTATCTTATCCTTTAAGACTTTTTAAAACTCTCTCTCCGTGTCAATAAAGACTTTTGAAGAGGGTAAAAAATTCTCGCGTAGAAGTTGGCGCGTACTGCTTTGAGGTTTTAGCGCGCTCAATGATAATGAAATTCAAACTAACTGTCGCGGTTGAATTTGATGTTAAAAAGAACACAAACAACAAAAAAATAGTTGGTTCATACTTAGGATGTGCGTATAACCACGTTTTGTTAGAAAAAAGACTTCACGGCTCTATGAAATTCGTTGTTTAAGACGTCGAAAATTGAGGATTTATTTCAAGCATGCGCTCTTTCATCGCCTGTCACATTCCTGACAGGCAATAATCGGATTTGACCAGATCTCGCCTTCGGCTTCGTCAATAAGAGATCTGGTTTCTCTGAGATGGTCTGGGGTCTCTAGGATCCATTTCTAACAAAAAAAATTAACGGACTAAACCGATCTCAGATCGGTCTAATTTCCAAAAGCGACCTCAATGTGAACGAGGCCTATTCAGGAGCACAACTGTAGAAAGAAAACATGAAAAATCCGTCTGTTCCTCGACCGAGACTGAGATGACTGAGAGATGAAGAGAGACTTGAGCGTTTCTTACGCGTCGGCTAGTTTTAAGCGTTTTACAACCATAGAGCGCTCATTTATACGATATTTTCTCCACGGACGACGTAAACTTCATATCACATTCAATTATGATTGAGAAAAAAATCAATTTTTCGTTCATGTTTGTGACTTGCTTACCGCCACGTTACAGTCCACAGATAGACACAAACGAAAAATCATGCAGCTTTGCCTCTGGCACGTTTAGATCTATCAGTCAGCTAAAAACTGGTATAAAATTTCACAACACAGTATTACACGTACCTTTCTCTCTCAGCCTCTTGTTTTTGCTTGTGCTTTCCCATAACGTTTTTTTTTTCTTTTTTAATAAGGTAGAAAAGAAAAATTCAACAGACAACAAACTTCAAAAGGCTCGTCTCATCGATGAGGTGGCAAGATTTCACTCGAATGCCGGGGATGAATGAAAAAGGCACCCACCGCGGCCTTGCACGTGATTACTTTAGTGACAGCTGATTGGTACGGTTCTGACAGTACCTAGCTTATTTCTCAAATAAAGATTATCGAAACCATGAAACTGTTCTTACTGAAACTACTAGGACCAAATTAGGGACTAGGAGACTGTGAATTTCTTTTTTTCTTTTTTTGGTAAAATGTTGAAAGTGGACGTTTATTTTCAATTGAGAACCAGGAGGACCGGGAGAGGACCAGGAAGGTTCAAAAAAAGGTTCACCCCAGGTGCACCTTTTCCGGTCCTATGCCAGGTCAAATCGCTTTTGATTTTTTAAGTTCAGCGAAGCGAGTGAACAACAGAGAATCAAACGTAGCCAAAGGTTGAAGTTATTCACAACAATCCAATTTATACCTTAAAAAGGCTGCGCTGTATTCCCTTGAAAACCCCCGAATTTTGTGATCCTGCCAGCCGCTCATAAGCAAGGGTTCCCCCGCTGACCGTGACCTTTCATATGGAGCTCGTCAACTATGGTTTTGACACCAGATATGCCGATATTACACTGTATGTCATCACGTTGAGGCATACACCCTGGGGAGGTTTTCCATAGATGGTTTTTCTTTCGAGTGAGTAGCTCAATCCAATCA